GTTTTACATGAGTTTAACGACACACAAAATTTGTGTTCTTTAATTTACCTCTTTCTAAGTTCTGTTCTAATATACACCGTGCTTCCACATGAAGATATTATCATCTTTTCATAAGCTTCGTCCAAGATCAACGTGACTAACTTTTTTTGCGTACTTTACCACTACTAAAAAACAGCTCAAGGTTTCGTTACATGAAGTAGGTTGATACGTTTACTGTAAACGTTTTGCAATCTACGACGTACTTCTTGTTTCAACATTTTCTTTCTCTGTTGTACAAAGGGTAAAGATGGCCCTTAGTAAAGCTCTGAATTTCAGAACTAATAAGTTACATTCGTATGTCCCAAACATTTTAAGCTGTGGTTGCGTTATAACAATGACGGTCAATCTCTTAGCTTGGGCGGTATGCTGCTACTGACTGGCTGCTTTCTCTCTGGTCAGGGATGGCAGCAGATAGAGTTAATAGCTTTGCCATAAATACAAATACTGCCGTACACTCCGTATGTTACAAATAAAATGGTCATTCCTTCGGGCTTGGCTTTTTCCCCCATGAAATTGACTCGTTTTGTCTACATACGAACGGTTGTCTTATGAACTTCCAACATACTTAACTAAAATGACATTGTTGTTTTGTTGGTTAATAGACTTAAGGCCCATTAGTAAGAGTTCGTGTTATATAAATTCCTATTCTTCAATCTCTTTCTCTCTCTCTCTACTCCACTTTTCTATACTCCAGAGAAGCTTAATATTCTTGGTGATAACTGTTACTAATAACTGTTTTTTTCAGATTACCTAGGTTATCTATGGCCTTTCTCAGTGAAAGTAAATTTGGTACAATTACTTTTTCTGACACAAACACCGATTCTTTCATATTCCTGTTAAGGTTATTTTTCAAATTATTCTACCTTTTCGTCTACATCAAATTAACTCATTGAAACATGTATATTTTTGTAAAATGAAAAACATGAATAGATCTCACTGTCACACCCACCATTTTACCTGTTTCATGATGGTAATGTTTGAGGATACTTAGATTTTCAGCTACATTTAACAATAACAATTTTAATTACCTTTATTGTATAGATTGAAATATAAAACACATTTGCTCGTATTCGATAACAAATGTCATACCAAACTGACTGCAGATTGGAAGTATATCACCTTTTATCCAACAAAGCCCGCCGATGGGTCACCGGTAAGCTGGAGGGCTTATAACATTAAAATTAGAAGATTGATACCTGTAGTGGGCAGAGCCTATCATGCAAGATAAATAAAAGAATGTTATCCAACTGAGCTTTATATATCTTTAGGTGTGGAAGACAATTTCGCGTAACTTATTACAAATCCTCAATATAACTTAAACCACAGGAACAGGACTTTTTACTTTTTTAGGTATTTTAGTAACTACATCAGATGAAATTACTTTAAAGCTATGATTTATTGTCATTTATGTTTTACGTAAGACTAGAATTCTGGGTGTGCATTATTTCCTCATATTATTAATTACCGTAATGATGCTGTTTGAGAAACATAGTTGGCAAGAGAGCATAATTAGGAACGTTTTTACTGTCGGATATCTGCCTTGAATGTCACAATTTGACGAAGTTCCGGAATATTTGTGTTCCTTCTTTTGATCAGTGAGATAGGTTATGGACAGCTTTGTGAAGCTCTGACGCGTTCCTGTTTGAGGGCTCTTGTGTGACATTTACAATTCAATAGGGATTCTGCTTTCGTTTTAATTCTTTTTACATTAGTCTTATCCATAGATTATTTAATTTCTTCTCCTTTGGCTCTGTTGAGTGCTTGTTCGCGTTTTTTTTCTAAATCTAATACTTCTTTTACCTTCTTTGTTTTCGCCATGAAAGGTTCTCAATACTTGTACTTTTTTCATACCAAAGTCATTCTGATATAGATGACACTTTTTTATTTTTATATATAACTTGTGAGCTTCTGGTAGTAATCTGATACATAAACAGCATCAAGTGGAACACATCATTGTTGTTGACGTTTCTGATACTAATACAACTAACTTAGATACCTTTTTTAACGTGACACATGTACTGTGGAGCATGTACTTTGTATCAGTTCATATAGTATTTAGCTCTGTCAGTCTTTGACTGATTTGGCTTTTTCGTAAGTTAAGTTGGACAAAAAAATGCACTTGTGCCACTATTTTAATTGTGTCAATGTCGTTATCAGTAGCATTTGTCACCTAAATCAACGTGTCCATCGTTACAAGTAGCTTCTAGTAGAATGGTTTTAGGAAAACGATATTGATTACTTACTGTTTTCAGGTGTCTTTGTAGATAGATTGGTAGTCGGATGAGACGGTTGATTCCTGTTGGTATGAATTTTTTACGGCACTGTCGTAGAAAGCCTATTTTTTCTTTCCTCACTAGTTTATGTACTAGATATGCTGCTGTTGCACTACAGTAAATTCGGTCAATTGAGGGAAACATTTTGTTATTTTTCAGAATTTGTAATGCATACTGGAAAAATTTATACATTTTTGGCAATAAAGTTAGAGAAAAAATTACCTTTACTGTCCAAATAATAATCAAACAACTTATTTCAACCAACTGTAGTTCTTGTACCACAAGCCTCAGTGAAGCCCCAGTAGTACAAGAACTGCAGTTGGCTGAAATAAGTTAATTATTATTATCTGGAGAGTAAATGTTTTTTTTTCTCTAACTTTACAAGTTCTATTTGTTACATAAATAAAAATAGATACGCAATTCTGAAATCACCAGTTCCATTTTTTTGGGGCATTCTCCCCCATGATTTAACTTTACATTCTGATGAATATGTATACTTCTGGTTCTTTTAGTTAGAGTTTGCTATTATTGTTCTTAAAACGCTTGTTTTGTTGTCACCTGTTATCGCTTCAAATGGTGTTTTAGCATCTTTTATACTATCCTGTTCTTCCAATATCCTAAGTAAATAACGTTGTTTGTTATTGGAACTTTATAAGATATTGTGAGACTTAGCAATTAATGCACATAACCATGATTGATAAAATAATGATTTTAAGCATTCGAGAAAAACCCATAGTGGCAATAAATTTACCATATTATCATATTACCAAACTCATGGCTAGTTTAACAGCCAGATTAAACCTCACTCTAAGTTTTGGCAAGTATATTAGATAAATATTTCCGATCTAATTCCAATTATTATGATGTCCAAAATGGACAAAATTAAATTTTAGCATTGTTAACTTTGAAATAACTTAATTTGAACAATTCCCCTATAGCAAATAATGCATTCTATCTATTCTTCTGGGTGGAAATATCTGGTAAAACGCTGCCATTTTTGCCATTTTGATTATTGTAGTATACATGATTTTCTTTTTACAAGAAATATTATTACGAAAACTTGTTGAAATATTGTATAAGGTTTGAAGACCCAGAAATACTGTATAAGGTTTGAAAACCCAGAAATATTGTATAAGGTTTGAAGACCCAGAAATATTGTATAAGGTTTGAAGACCCAGTGATAATTAAAATATTAGAAAAAAAACATTTGTCATCAGGTTGCTGCTTTATTTCGCTCAAGGTTTTTTTTTATATTTATTGTAACCAGTTAGCCTTTACTGGTTTCGTTAACTAGGCTATAATGTAAAGTTATATTCTGAGAGAAAAACATTTGACTGAGGTTAATTTGATTTTGTAACCTATGGTTCATATAAGTCAAGAATATATTTTCTTTAAATTCATTCGCTTGTTTCAAACTCACCTCTAAAATGTACATGTTTATTTTGACCTAACGGTATTAGGTATCTTCAAGCTCACTCTGGCTATTTTCAACTTACCTCTTAAATCGCAGTCTTTGTCACCAACAATTAGCTGTTTTTGAAGACTTTGTGGAACCCAGAACTCACTTGAATCCTGTTTCAATGGGTTTTCTAATCTTCCGCTGCTCCGAGATGATAAAAAAATGCCACGAGATTTCCGTGTCATTTTCAAAACGTTTCCGATTTCTTTCTCCTCTGTAGTTTCTAATGACATAATTCTTCTTGTTTCTTCAGCTGCAATTAAACTAGATCTTTCGAACCAGTTTAATTTGTATCGTCTGGAGCACAGGACATAAAAAAGTAAACAAATTAGCATCACTACAAGAAAAGACACACACACGTACACAGCAGTATAGTAGCCACTCGACACAACATTCGAACTCCTTATGGCAACCATTTTGGTTCCTTTCTGGACAAAAATGACAGTACTGCAAAACGGTAATTCAACTTTGTGGTCTTTATACTTCTTAGTCAACGTTGACGGTATCTGCAAGAATAAAAGCAAATGCTGTACGCAGACATTTCTATAAGCACTTAACGAAAAGCACAAACGTGGAAATCTGTGTAATAGGACACAAAAACGAACCTTTAATAGCAAGTTAATAGCGATTTAAACAAAGAAGAGCTATAGAAACAAACGTTTTGGATATTTTAACCTTATTTGACGTTTTTTTAAGTCCAAATATATGGTATTACTTTTGAAGAAGGATACTTCCAGTTGCTTCAGAGCAAACTAGAAAAACTACTCATTGCGTGTGATAATTCATTAATTTTTTCTTTCCATATTCAGAAGTTTAAGGCACTATTATGTTTTTCCACTTCCATTTCTAGCAGTTTGAAAACATGATATTTATCGTAATAAATTATTATTTCATTTTTTAAATATTGCTCTAAACCTAACAACATCAGTAAATTAAACTAGTTATTGTTCAACAATATACTCATAAAAACAAACGCGAGTGTCTCGACCAAATGAACTAAATAAACCTTAACTATATGGCTATAAGCAAGGTTTTATGTTTTTTTTTTTCAAATATGGCAGGACGTGGTACCTTGTGAACATCTGTGGCATCCTTTGGTCTGAGGAAAATATATCGGTCTCAAAAGTACTAGTTAACTAAGGATATTGTAAATTTATTTAGCTATTATTTTAGGCATAGATTTATACATTCTGTAAATGTCTCGATTATTCTTCAAGTCACTTTTATTTATTGTAGAACTCTGGGTTTCGAAACTGGTGAGCCGGGTTCGAGTTCGTGGTATATCACAAAAATATTATTTGCACTTTAAATAAACAATGGGTGCGTCATAATAATGGCAATGCCTCACTCAGCGTGGATGGTTGTTGCTAGGATGCTGCTTATTGGCTGCTTTCCCTTTGTTCAGTAATTCAAAAAATATGGAGTGCTACAAATAACCAAAACATGGACCGAATCCCGAAGAAGAAGAAGACCTTAGTAACTTTTCAATAAATATAAAATACTAATTTATTAGTGTTATAAAGTGTTAGTGTTAAAAATGTTATAGTTGTATTTGAATAAAAGTGATTCTGAAGTATTTTAGACCTTATTCAGTCGATATAAAGTCGCGGTAAAACAGAATGTATTAGAATTACGTTTTGACATTATTTGCTATTTTATAGGTAGTGTAATGCCACAAAAACCTGATCACTTTTGGGAAGGTTATGTAACAGTCCTTTCTGAAGCAAAATATTCATACGCTGATAATTAATGTGTTAAGATCAGAGATTTAGAATTTAAGACAGGAATATCCCTTAGCATCGAAAAACAAAGGAATATGGATTATCTTGTGGTACCAAGGCAATCCAGAGAGAAACCTGCAGCAAGTCGTACCCCACCTGTGGTTTGAGCATAATGTGGCATATTTTAACAGGTGACAATCTACGAACAAAGTCAACCACATGCCCCATAAATCAAGAAGGATCTCCAGCTGAAAAAAAAAAGTGATACAAATCACGTGTACGCAAGTTGCTTTCACGAGGCTTCTGTTCAAACGTCACATATGTCAAGCAGACAGAGAATGAAACGAATATTCATGCTATTCCATAATAATATATAAAAATCGCCAAGAGCAGTGCCAATGAATTTGTAAGGTAATGAGACATCATTGACCTTCTAGAATAGATGGACTTTGGAAAGAAAGAAGTGAATAGTGATGTGTTTTCGACGTAACCTTATGGCACAGCCTTTTGCCTTCTCTTAGTTTATTAAGCACAAAGCTACACAGTGGGTATCCAAAACAGATTTAGTGCTATAATCCCTCAGATTTACCGCTGGGCCAATAGAGAGGGGGGGAAGAAAATATTATCAACTTAACTTCGTAACATTTTTTTCATTTACATGTATAATGATCAGCATGTTATTTAAAATATTGTTCCATATAAGTGTGTGTATAATTACTGATATTATAGTGGTTAGAATATATATATCAATGTCACATGTCTTCCAGCACCTGATATTCCTTGTGTCGCACAGACACAATGGTAATGGGGTTTTCCATAAGTAATGTGGTTTCGGAAGCACAGAGGAAACAAGGAACACATAATCACAAGATTAGATTATTTTCCTGAAAAGTGTTAAAGATGGTGAAACAGTAATAAACGTCACCCCTTATGAATCAGGAAATGATTAGAGGTGGAATGTGAACATGATATTTAAAATATGACATCTTTATAGGTGAGCTGTGGATAAGGATTATTTTCTGGTCATTTGGGTTGTTTTTTTTCTTCGACCGGGTGATTAGGTCTGCTCAACACTAGAAATAAATTACTTGCTAAGCCTACTTTACGGCCTCATTTTGTAAATTAGCAAGTTATCTTTTCTACGGAAGCTCTGTTCATCACTGACCTTTACTAAAATCTTATCTTAATAATCTGAACAGACAACTACACCACATTTACCTAGGGCATGTTCAAGTCAGGACTTAGTCGGAGGTCTAAAGCTTGCATGTTTTTTCACACTAGTTAAGAATTTTCGTTTAGTGAACCCAGTAAGGCCTTGCTTAAAGCAATGAGAAGTAAATTTATAAACCATATTTGAAGACTAATGAAGGAATATGATCTTTAAATCAAAAACAAATGTAGGTGATAAATAGGTTTAAAAACATAACTATATTTCATGATATACCCTGCGAAGTATATTTCCTAACTACGTTTTAGTAATCAAAGATTATTGACCCATAGGTAACAGCAACAGGATATTTCAGGCTTCAAATATAAGAGGCTTACTAAAACATCGCTTATTCAAATGATTATAAAGCATTTTATCAATAACAGATGGGGAAAACATTTCTATATGAGCATTCTGTAATGTTATTGCATTCTTATGCAAAGCTTCGTAAGTTTCATGCATTTTTATATATGTACGATGGGGAAAAAAATATCCAAAGTTTTCTTTAAAGGCATTTGGTATAAAGCTTGCGAAATTAAAGTATAAACTAGTAGGTATTTTTAAGGTATACTTCACATTGGAAGCGACCGTTATTGTTATCAGTGTCAAGAAACGAAAGTTTATGATCTTGGTGTTCTATAGTGAATTTTATACTATTATGTTCACAATTCTAATTTTAAAGAAATTGAGGAGCTTGCCCAAAGTTCCTGAAGATAGTGAATGTGTCATTTACATATATGCGATAGTAAAGAAACTTAAGCCATTGCGGGCAGTTTTTCAACCATTGTTTTTCCATAATAACAGAAATGCATTGGGCAAAGAGGGCGCCAGTCTAGAATCTATAGCGACACCATCAGTCTAATCATAAAAATGAGATCCTTCAGTAGTAAAATTCATAATTTCAAAACATTTACGTAGGAATAGCCAAATTGTCAGTTATTAAAAATCAAAGCAGCACTTATCTGTACGTTTTTTCCAATAAATATATATGTTTGTATACAACGATTCAACAAACTAATAAATGGTTAAAAGCTCCAATGTTAGACACTATGGGTCGTAACGGGCATTATTTATAGATTTTCAAAGACCATAAACAACAACAAACAAACAAAAACTCTTAAATGGTTAAAAGCTCCAATGTTAGACACTATGGGTCGTAACGGGCATTATTTATAGATTTTCAAAGACCATAAACAACAACAAACAAACAAAAACTCTTAAATGATTACCTGATGGTCTAATTTCAAATGTTCTTTCTTCATTTAAAACATTATCCTTTCTCAGTTTCAATAAGAACCTTTGTAACTTCAAACTTAGTTGAATCACCTAAAATGTCTCCATATGTAGATTTTTTTTTTATCTAGCTTGTTACAGACTGCCTTGATTTTCCCAGCTTATTTACAAGTTAATCTGAATCGTGCCAAGTAGTTATATATATACATTACACACACACACACAACACCAGTATTGACAACCTGTTTAGTTTTAATACTTGTTCCCGATATCCAGGTTTTGAAAGCGTCGCTAGATTTAGTGTGTTATTAGATAAATCTATCGGTTTGTCATTTTTGATCAGACAATTTGACTCAAATTGTATTAACACGCATGAATATACAAACTCTTATAAAAGGTAGAAGACAACCTGAAAACTAATAGTTACAGTAGACTTTACGAGTAAACTTGATGGTTGGAAGACGGGTGTCATAATAGCTCGGATAAAACGCACTACTACTAATATTACTTTATTAATTTGAGCTTTTACGTCTGTAACGGAGGCTGGAAATGCCAACTTCAGGGGGTAACGTTTTATAACTCATCATTTCCAATGATGAGACCTTTTGACTTTCTTACTTTTCATTTTTCTTCGTAGAGCAGTCACCTTCCCACAGTTGTCTGCAGACATTGAAGAGTGATATAGATGTGAGGAGTTGTAGGCTTGAGAAATCACATCTTGCTCTCTCTTATATTTCTATTTTACTCTTTCTTTTACATGTGAGACTTGGCGAACGGAGGTTAAGACTGGTAGATAGTGTATCCCCACCGCCGCCATGTGGGTCCTACTTCTCAGTCACCTCCTAAAACCAGGACATCCTATATCCCACATTACAGTCTGTGCCTTGGTGATTGTTTTGGTTAAGGCTTGTTTTGCACAGACACACACACACACAGTTACGAAAAAACACATATGATACACAAATAAAAGTCACAAAATGAGTAACTAAAACTAACTGGTAAGTGTTTATTAGTATAACATATTATTACAGAAAATATATACAAAACTAAAGCATACGATCTGTTTAATGCACTAGTATTTTCATTTGTCTTAACACAGCAGTAAAACTTGTTTTTATGCAATCACCTTTATCAACGTTAGATATTGTTCCACGTTTCTAGTAATACTTCCCATAATTCAGCAAAGAAGTTTGATTGCCATTTGAACCCGTTTTATTTGGCCAAGTTGTGTTTGCGATAGTTCCATCGGCCACTTTTTATTTCCAGATATTTTTTCCTCTACATTTGCTGTATGCTTGGTATCATTGTCTTGTAAATAGATGAGTAACAGATTGATGGATAACAA